GCTAAAACGTGTTTTTGAGCCCTCTATAAGAGCAAAAGCAACACAAAATGGACGACTACAGCAACGGCTCCTAATTTGCGATGGCCATGATAGCCATATAAGTGGAAGCTTTATATCACACTGTATACAGAATCGAATATCACTCCTTATTCTACCTCCTCATACATCTTATGTTCTACAGCCACTTAATGTTGCAATTTTTGGGCCCTTAAAGCAACACCTTACAACTGCTCTCTCACACCTAAATGAGGTGCAACTCCTACGAATACAGAAAGCAGAGTGGCTTGAAGCATATATAAAAGCAAGAGCAGCTGCTTTTTCAACTTCAAATATCAATTCTGCTTGGAGAGGGAGTGGCCTACAGCCATTCCAACCACAAACAGTCATTCGAGCAGCTACACTTCCTACTACAGACGTAGTAGTATTAGAACGGCCACATACTCCTACAGAGCATGATATTTTTGAGAAGGTATTCTTAAACAGTAGTCCACCTGATTTTAATACCCTTCAAAAAGCGAATTCTGTGCTCTCTACAGCCTTAAATCAAGGTGTTTTGAATACTCCTACAAAGCGATATATCAATAAGTTAGCAGATGAGTCAGAACGCCTTAATACACGCAATACCCTTCAAAAAAGAGAGTGTAATAACTTACGTTCAATTATCCAAAAGCGAAGAACACAGAATAAGGGTAAAAGAGCAGTTTTGAAGGGTCAATTCCACATCTCAACAGAGGAGTTACGGTCGCAAGTTATAGAAGCAGAAGCAGCAACAGCAACAGCAACAGCAACAGCAACAGCTTCACAGAGGCATAGAACAACACCACAACCTACCTCAATGGTTAACTTAACTAATAGTGAGAGTGAAGAAGAGAGCGAGGAGAGCGAAGATAATGATATAGATGAATTAGGGTGGTAGTAATTGAATTATTTGCAATTTTTGAAGGTGGTAGTAGTTTGATGGGGTGGTTCTAACCCCACTATGCCGGTTACGCCATTGTGCCGGTTACGCCACGACTTACGTTAGTTTAAGTTTTATTTTTTGAAAATGTAAGTATCTTTACATACAAATTTAGCTGTAAAGGTACATTAGGCGCATTACGCCACGACTTACGTTATGTTCTAGGTTATTTATTACATAGTGTTGTAGTTCCTACATGTGTTCTAAGTTATTAATGTTAAAACATTAAACTATGCAAATGTGGAACGCCCACTCTTGTAGTAGTCTTATGTCGGTTTATAAACTCTAACAATTACATTATGTAAGCGTTGTTTGTTTGTTTGTTTATGCATGACATTCTCATTACGTGCATTAATACTCTAAAACTCTTTATATAAACCTTCTAGCGTACTATTTATTCTGTACAGGCTTAGGTTATCACGTAAGCTTTACCTTCTACAACCTATGTTCAAGTTATTATGTAGTTGTATAATTCCTAGTTATAAGTCATCATTATAAGCCTAGACAGCAACGTACTAGTAGGAACTAAGTAGATCAGATCTGATTTCTTCTCTAACCGATTAAAGGCGAAATTAACGCTAAAGTTACCGTTAATAGACCGCAGAGCTGCATTAGCTGTAACGTAAGTCGTGGCGTAACCGGGCTAATGGCGTAACCGGGCTACCTACTCACCCCACCAAATCGAAGGTCACGTAACTAGATTTAAAACCCTAATAACTTTTATAATAGTGATTATAAACCTTAATCCTCTTAGACTATTATTCTTTATATGCTAATCTAATATGCATAAAAACGCTAGTAGTGCTAGATTTGTTTTCTAAGAGATATTAAGGTTTAAACTTTTACCATACAAAATATTAGTATAGCAAAACTTAAACTATAAATAACTCTTTAATAAGGCTAGCTTACGTTCTTCTAAATTTAACTATAGTATATTAGTATATAAAGAGTAATAGTCTATAAGGAATAAGTTCTAATAATTTTATTAATAGAGTTATTTAAGTTTAAAGTTTGTAGATTTAAGTACCTTCATATATAAATTCTGCTGCAAAGGTACATAGCCCGGTTACGCCATTAGCCCAGTTACGCCACGACTTACGTTATCGATCGATGCTGCCAAAAACTGGTTAGTAAGTAGTAAACTACTATAGGTGCCTATTACATGATGCTTTCTGTCCATAGAGATAAAGAACCTTGCTTAGAGAGTGGGTCCTATAACTTCTTGTTATAAGTAATCTTAAACTCAAGCTATCACCTTATTCTAAGGGTCTAGTCGGCTTTAAAGCACGGCCTCATCTTAGATGTTAGACAGACAGCATGAGTAGGTGGTGAAGTACAGACATCGTTAAAACATAGCTTCTAGGGTTTGTTTCACTGCCATTAGAGTGTAGACTTCACCATAGCAGAACAGGAAGATAAATATCAAACTTCACAATCTCTATAAGTTCATATTCCCTATGGCTGTGGAGTAACAAACGTGGTTAGACAACTAACTTGCGCTAGTTGAAGTTGTGACTGGATTTTCTCTTTAGTCTAGATATATTATTTTAAAAGGCATAGCAAAGACGGAGAAAAAGGAAAAGTCGGAAACTCTCGTCCTAGACCTGTCGATGACCTCTCTCCTTAGTCACTAGTGTCTCAATCTGCCCCTCGACCCAAATTTTCCGACTTTCCATCTTGGTCGTATTTACTCGCAGCACTACAAAGTTTCTGGCGAGAACTGGAGCACGGTATAGTGTGAGTGTTTTGGGTTTAGCGGGACAGTTGCATCGGGAGTTGGATCAGCGGTGAATAAGAACATATAACTTTAAATTGACGACAACTATTGAGCGGGAAGTAGAATCTCTATGATTGATGCAGGCTTCGCTACTGTGAGAAGGCTTCTCCGTCTACAAGGAGGATCCTAGAGCATGGGTGCAATCTGCATCTTCTTCCTCATAAGAGTTTTTGATAATTTTGATAATTTGGGTGGCAATTCTAATATTAACCGTAATTTATACCATCTCACTTGAGAGATCTTCAAAAGCTCGTACGACATATTTTGTGCCTAATACCGAGACTATATTACCTTCTTTCCACTCCTCCTCACCCTCAAACTCGGAAATGCCAACTTCAGCAAAGGAAGGCACTCCTTCTACCTGGCCAACAGCATATATCACATTCCACTGTGCATTCTCATCTAAACTTTCACTCCGCACCGAAAATGAAAGATCGTCCTTTTGTCGTAACGCCATGAATGACCCTGCTACTCGTCCTAAAAATGTGCCACCATGGGAACTGTCCTCGACAGTCTGAATAATCCAAGCACGTTTCGGTCCAGGCACTAGATCTAGCTTTCGCCACACCTCTTCATAATCCGTGACAGCATCATTCTTGTGCGCGCAAGGCATGGAGCCAGTCTCGAGATCATCGCCGTTTGGAAGCGGCGAGAATATGCCTTCGTCTGGGTCCGATGGACCGAGGGAGTCTATTGCTTTGATCCAGCGGCATTTTACTATAAACGTGTTAGGGAATCACTAGGCAATAAGAAACTGCAGGGAACTTGCGAGGATTCTTGCTTAAAATTTGTCGCTCGCCCGCCATTGCCCAGTCGATGGATTGGTCTGCTTTGTTCACGCGGAGATCCATGAAATAGCCACCAACGTTCATGACGAGGGTATTGGTGAGCTCTTCGGGTTCATCTGGCACCCATCGAAGACTAATGCGCGTCGAAAGTCTAGCAGCCATGGTAATAGGAAGATATATGATAAATTTGATTGATGCCGAATGAGACAACCTGGCGGAATATCTGCACGATTTCAACCTGGCAAGAAGGGACAATGGAAGAGGAGGGGATGGGATCTGTCTTGTACTCGCGTGGAATGTTTGAACATCACGCACCCCACAATCTACCCCCGATCTCTTACAGCTTCCGAAAGCAGTTAGAATCACGCTTTGTTGTCGTATCATCCATCCTGAACTATGGAGAACTTCAAAGCGGTTTAGCGCGACCCATAAGCTACCCCTCTCTTACCGCTTCTGAAAGCGGTTAGAATTCCACCCCGTTTAGATCTTGATATGTAGCGGGATACATTAGAGAAAGGTACATCGACGCTACAACCTATCCTATCCTATCCTTAATGTTCGTTGTTCTTGTTTTATTTACAGGCTTCTTGCACTAAGCTATAAGCCATCTAAATTCTGCTAGTATTAACGTAGGTCGTGGCCATACCGGGACCATGGCCATACCGGGATTGTGGGGTAGCGACCCCATCAAAAGTATAAGGAGCAGCTTTAAGAAAAATCAACTTCAACCAACTCATTAATTACTATATTAATATGGTGCGTAAGCGTAGCTTAAAGACTCAAGAACGTGATAAACTTATACTTAAAGCTATAGCTAGAGTTAAATCTGGTTTATATAAATCAGCAAATGATGCTGCAAAGGCCTTACAACTTAGGCTAGATACAGTCGTCAACTATATTAAAGGGCGACGCACCTTACATAAACACGCACACTTAAAGCATCAATTACTATCTCAAACTTAAGAAAAAACACTTTTAAAGTGGATAAAAGAGCTTACAAATAGTAGTTATACTCCTAGCCATTAACGTAAGTCATGGCGTAACCGGCACAATGGCGTAACCGGCATAATGTCACTTTACACTGAACTTTGTATAGAAAGGTACTTACTTCTAATGATTTTTTAAATGATCATAACTTTTGCACTTTTGACTGTACAGCTTAGCTATTTTGTATGGTAATAGTACGCATATTGTTCTATTATGTATAGAAGCTATAAAATATTCACGACCTTATTAAAAAAGTTGATTTTTTTTGGTGAGGGAACAACACATGATTATGCCGGTTACGCCATTGTGCCGGTTACGCCATGACTTACGTTAGATATTACAGGAGGTTGCAGATGAAGTCCAGTTAAATAAGTGTTGCGCGTTTTTCAGCCTCAACAACAACACCTACAACAACAACAACAACAAGAACCTCAAACTTAACAACCTTAAATACCTAAGTTACCTCTTAGGCAAGATTAGGTTCTACAATTTATTCAAAGGCATCCTAACTTACATGTTAAGTTAGGACGTAGAGTTAAGGCATAGAGGATGAATAGGGTAACAAAAGAGGTGTTAAAGGGGTAGTTTAACATGTATAAAAGCCTTATAATAGAGCTAAAAATCGAAAACTATAACACTTACAATATAGATGAGACTAGATTTTTAATTAGAACTATATAATCTATACGAATTATAGTCGACTCTACACTTTATATGCGTTTTTAGGCTTATCCTAGCTAATAGGAATAAGTGTTTGCTATTAAATGCATCTATATAGACAGAATAGCTATTAAATCTCTTATTATCTTTAAAGGATAGAATATACTATAAAGCTAGATTCTAAAGGAAGTTATACAAAAATGGCACTTCTCTATAAACACAAAAGGGTAGACAAGCAATCTTTATAGATTAGAGTAGTTAAAACGTGTTTTTAAGCCCTTTACAAGAGTGAAAGCAACACTTCTAAATAGAAAACTACAATAAAGGCTCCCTATTTATAATAGCTATAATAGCTATACAAGTAGAAGCTTTATATTACACTACATTCAAAATTGAATATCGCTCCTTATAATACCTCCTTATACATCCTATGTGCTATAACTACTTAATATTTCGATTTTTAGGCCCTTAAAGCAACACCTTACAACTGCCCTCTTATACCTAAATAAGGTGCAACTCCTATAACGTAAGTCGTGGCGTAACGGGACGGATGGCGTAACGGGACGCTTTCCTAGAGCTATAACGTAGGTCATGGCCTAAGTGCTGCCATGGTCTAAGTGACAATTTTAGATACCCTACTAAAATCTAGGACTAAACTACCTACCTACTAATTTAGAAAATTGAAAATAAGTTAATAATTACAATGCTAATTCATCTAAATCGCTGTCATATAGCTCTTCTTCACTCTCTTCATCTATTTCCTCAGTTATAGCCTCGTTTATAGGTTGTGGTGTTGTTCTAGGCCTCTGTGAAGCTGCGGCTGTTGCTGTTGCTGCCTCTGCTTCTATAACTTGCGACCGGAGTTCTTCTGTAGAAATGTGGAATTGACCCTTCAAAACTGCTCTTTTACCCTTATTCTGTGTTCTTCGCTTTTGGATAATTGAACGTAAGTTATTACACTCTCTCTTTTAAAGGATATTGCGTGTATTAAGGCGTTCTGACTCATCTGCTAACTTATGAATATATCGCTTTGTAGGAGTATTCAAAACACCCTGACTTATTGTAGAAGAGAGTATAGAATTCGCTTTTTGGAGTGTATTAAAATCAGGTGGACTGCTGTTTAAGAATACCTTCTCAAAAATGTCATGCTCTGTAGGAGTATGTAGCCGTTCTAATACTACGACGTCTGTAGTAGGAAGCGTAGCTGCTCGAATGACTGTCTGCGGCTGGAATGGCTGTAGCCCACTCCCTCTCCAAGCAGAAGTTATATTTGAAGTCGAAAATCCAGCTTCTCTTGCTTTAATATATGCCTCCATCCATTCTAACTTATGTATGCGTAGGAGTTGTGCCTCATTAAGGTGCGAAAGAGCTGTTGTAAGGTGTTGCTTTAAAGGTCCAAAAATTGCAACATCAAGTGGCTGTAGAACATGAGATGTATGAGGAGGTAGAATAAGGAGCGATATTCGATTCTGTATGCAGTGTGATATAAAGCTTCTACTTATATGGCTATCATGGCCATTGCAAATTAGGAGCCGTTGCTGTAGTCGTCCATTTTGTGTTGCTTTTGCTCTTGTAGAAGGCTCAAAAACGCGTTTTAGCCACTCTAATCTATGAAGATTACTTGTCCATCCCTTTGTATTTACAGAGAAGTGCCATTTTTGTATAACCTCCTTTGGAATCCAGCTCTGTAGTATGTTCTGTCCTTTAAAAATAATAAGGGGGTCGATAGCTGTTCTGTCTATGCAAATGCATTCAACAGCAGACACCCATTCCTGTCGGCTAGGATGAGCTTGAAATCGCGTACGGAGTGTAGAATCGACTATAATTCGTGTAGATTGCATAGTTCCAATTGAAAATCCAGTTTCATCCATATTATAAGTGTTGTAGTTTTCGATTTTTAGCTCTGTTATAAGGCTCTTGTACGCGTCAAACCACCCCCTTAACACCTGCTTTGTGACCCCATTCATCCTTTGTGCCTCAACTCTACGTCCTAACTTAACACGTAAGTTAGGATGCCTTTGAATGAATCGTGGAACCCACTCTTGCCCAAGAGGTAAGTTAGGTATTTGAGGTTGAGGTTGTTGAGGTTGTTGAGGTTGTTGAGGTTGTTGTGTTTGTTGTTGCTGTTGTTGTAGTTGAGGCTGAAAAACGCGACACTTATTTGACTGGACTTCATCTGCAACCTCTCGTAATATCCGATGGCTAGGAGCGTAGCCGCTTGTAGTAAGCTCCTTAATCCACTTTAAGAGCGTTTGCTCTTGATTTTTTGACAGGAGCTGTTGTTGTTGTCGCGCCTCACGTCGCGTAGAGCCACCTCTTAGACGCTTAAGGACAGTATTAGGGTGTAGGCCTAGAGCAATTGCTGCAGCATTTGCTGATTTAAATTTTCCTAACCTAACTCCTTCAATTGCCTTAGAAACACGTAAATCAAGCTCTTGAGCCTTAATATTCTTACGTTTTACCATTTTTAACTATATAGTAGAAGTAGTAACTACTAGTCGGCTGGTTTGATGGGGTCACTACTACCACTACCCCGCTAAATTGTCACTTAGACCATGGCAGCACTTAGGCCATGACCTACGTTACCCCACTAAAGTAAGTGTAGTTATTTACTACACCCTATTAACCACCTAAAATCAATTATAGTGCGTCAAAAAAGTCAAAAATCAAAGGAATTAGAAGCTTTATTAGCTAAAGCTATCCTAGGCATCTAAAATAAGAAGTATAAGTCGTTATATAAGGCTGCTAAGGCCTTAGGGTTAAGCTGCAATACTATTAGTAAGCGCGTTAGCTAACAACAGCCTTCAAGGCAAGAAGCGCGTTAAAAACAGCAACTATTATCTAAAAATCAAGAGCGTACCTTATTAAAATGGATAAAGGAGCTTACAAATAGTGGCTACGCACCTAGCCATCGAATCCTACAAGAGGTTGCAGATGAAGTCTAGTTAAATAAGTGTTGTGTTTTTTAGCCTCAACAACAACACATATAACAACACCTACAACAACAACCTTAAACTCAACAACTACAACTACAAATACCTCCTAAGCTACCTCTTAGGCAAGATTAGGTTCCGCGATTCATTTAAAGGCATCCTAACTTACATGTTAAGTTAGGACATAGAGTTGAGGCACAGTGGATAAATAGAGTGACAAAAGAGGTGTTAAAGGGGTGGTTTAACGTATACAAAAGCCTTATAACAGAGCTAAAAATCGAAAACTATAACACCTACAATATAGATAAGACTAGATTTTCAATTAGAACTATGCAATCTATACGAATTATAGTCGACTCTACACTCTATACGCAATTTTAGGCTTATCCTAGCTAATAGGAATAGGTGTCTGCTGTTAAATGCATCTATATAGACAGAACAGCTATTAAACCCCTTATTATCTTCAAAGGACAGAATATACTACAAAGCTAGATTCTAAAGGAGGTTATACAAAAATGGCACTTCTCTGCAAATACAAAAGGATAGACAAGCAATCTTTATAGATTAGAGTAGTTAAAACGCGTTTTTGAGCCCTCTACAAGAGCAAAAGCAACACAAAACGGACGACTAACGTAGGTCATGGCCATACCGGGACTATGGCCATACCGGGAATCCGGCAACCACCACCAAATAGAGGGTCACGTGACTAAAATGAAAACCTTAATAACTTTTTAATTAGTAGATGTATAGCCTAGTCCTCTTATATTAACGATATTTATATAGTTATCTAATATATATGAAAACGTTAGTAGTACTAGTTATGTTTTATAAGAGATATTAAGGTTTAAACTTTTACTATACAAAATATTTATATAGCAAAACTTAAACTATAAATAACTCCTTTCTAAGGCTAGCTTACACTCTAAAACATTTAGCTACAGTATATATGTAGATAAAGAGTAAGAACATAAGATGATTAAGCTTTATAGGCACTATTGTAAAAGTTATTACAGTTTTCATTTAGGTCACGTGACTCTCTATTTGGTGGTGGTTGCCGGATTCCCGGTATGGCCATAGTCCCGGTATGGCCATGACCTACGTTATAGCAACAGCTCCTAATTTGCGATAGCTACAATAGCCATATAAGTGGAAGCTTTATATCACACTACATTCAAAATCGAATATCGCTCCTTATAATACCTCCTTATACATCTCATGTTCTACAGCCACTTAATATTTCGATTTTTAGGCCCTTAAAGCAACACCTTACAACTGCTCTCTCACACCTAAATGAGGCACAACTCCTACGAATACAAAAAGCAGAGTGGCTAGAAGCATATATTACTGTAAGAGAAGCTGCTTTTTCAAATGTAAATATTAATTCTGTATGGAGAGGGAGTGGCCTACAGCCATTTCAACCACAAACAGTCATTCGAGCAGCTACACTTCCTACTACAGACGTAGTAGTATTAGAACGGCCACATACTCCTACAGAGCATAATATTTTTAAGAAGGTATTCTTAAACAGTAGTCCACCTGATTTTAATACCCTTCAAAAAGCGAATTCTGTGCTCTCTACAGCCTTAAATCAAGGTGTTTTAAATACTCCTACAAAGCGATATATCAACAAGTTAGCAGATGAGTCAGAACGCCTTAATACACGCAATACCCTTCAAAAAAGAGAGAGTGATAACTTACGCTCAATTATTCAGAAGCGTAGAGTACAGAATAAGGGTAAAAGAGCAGTTTTAAAGGGT